TAGTCCATTTATATAAAATTTTTTGATAGGTATGTATTTCTTGCCATTTTGTTAATTGTTTTCTGACTGTTTTTGTAGTTCCTCTCTGGTCTTCTTTTGCTTTCTTACTTTGTGGCTTAATGACTTTCTTTTTTTAAAAAGATTTTATTTATTTATTTGATAAAGAGAGCACAAGCAGGCAGAGCGGCAGGCAGAGGGAGAGAAAGAATCAGACTTCCCACTGAACAGACATGGGGCTCAATCCCAGGACTCTGGGATTATGATCTGAGCCAAAGTCAGCCATTTAACCAACTGAGACACCCAGGTGCCCCACAATGACTTTCTTTAGTGGTGTGTTTAGATTCCTTTCTCTTTATCTTTTGTGTGTTTACTATATGTTTTTACCTTGTGGTTATCATGAGGCTTATGTAAGAACTTATATTTATAATAATTTAAGTTGATAACAACTTAAATTTGATCACATTCTAAAGCTCAACATTTTTTGTTAAATAAATAATGATACGTTCACATAACAGAATTTTACATATTCTCACCCATTTTTGTTAAAAATCCATAATGCTAATGGAAAAGAAGAAGAATACATCCAAAATTGAAAATGAAATCCTCTTTGCCTTGTGGGATTATGTCTAGCCAATGTTTAGTTTCCTCTCTGGCTCTTTTACATTTTCTAATTTTTCCACAATGAAAATTTACCACTGTTCAATCAAATCTAATTTTTCAAATGTAGGGCATCTGGGTGGCTCAGTCAGTTGAGTGGCTACGTCTTGGTTTAAGCTCAGGTGGTAATCTCAGGGTCATAAGATCAAGCCCCATGTCATGTTCCACACTCAGTGTGGAGTCTGCTTCAGATTCTCTCTCCCTCTCCCTCTGCCCCTCCCCGCTGTGCTCGCTCTCTCAAATAAATAAATAAATCTTAAGAAAAAATTTTTAATGCACTCCTATTCAGAAGTAAATCAACTTTTCATCTAAGATTCTGAGATTCATTATGTTGAGCCCTGAATTCACACCCTCTGCTCCTTAGTTGTCCAGCCAAGTCAAAATCTCTCAAACTCAGTTTATCTTCTGAAATATGGGGATATCAACTGTTGTTCTTGACACAGAAGTGTGATGAGGCACAAATGAAAATGTCCACACACAAATATCTGACATACAGTAGGACATTCTGAAGGATTATTACTAGCAGCTCCTTTCTAGGACATTGGTGAACATTACCGAGCTTGTTCCCTTCTTGGCAAAGACATTGGCATATCCATGTTTCCTTCCTAAGGGGTGATTCATGATGGAAATGTTAGGCACTTTAGAAGATGGATTACACCAGAGCTGGAAGTCTGCTTGATAAGGGTTCCTTTTGAGTAATTCCCATGTAGAAAGCCGGGTTTGAGAAATAGGGTCTTTCTAGCAGCTCAGCTCCATCCATACCACCTCTGCCAGGTGCTTTCAAGATAAACACGTTTCCTTATGGGCTGCCAGAGCATCAGGGTGCCTAGTTGCTCAGTCGGTTAAGTGTCTGCCTTCCACTTGGGTTGTGATCTCAGAGTCCCTGCGTTGACCCACATGTTGGGTTCCCTGCTCAGTGGGGAATCTGCTTTTCCCTCTGCCTTTGTTTGTACTGTCACTCACTCACTCTCTCAAATAAATAAATAAAATCTCTAAATGGTCTCTCTGGAGGTTAAGAAGGTTGGACCATTTATTCGAGATTTTCCTGCCACAGTAGTTGAGGGTTTGGCCTTGGGTGTTAAGATCTGACACCGTTCTCCTTGGTACCAGAGGAAGCCCTTGGGCAGAAAAGGGAGATGCAGGTGGAAACTGTTCCCAGCTGCAGGTGAGTCCAGGTGGACTGAGGGGGATACATGGTGTGGCATCAAGAGTCACTGCAATAGCCTTGTCCCAGAGTAGGCAACTCTGGGGTATAAGAAGTTGGTGACTATCCAGATATGCTATATTACAAAAGTTGAGATGACGAATGGAAGGAACCTAGATACCTGAGTCACCAGATGGAGGAGAGCTTTTGCAAACCTGATGCTTGGAAGCTGTCACGAGTCAGAACCTTTGGGGCTTTCCAAGTGGTCAATTTGGACATACTGTGGAGACACAAGGAAGCTTCATTACAATACTTTGTGACCTTTTCCTAGGAAGCTCACCATAATATAACCAATTGGATCATGGGTCTATTATAAAAGGAAATAACTCAGGAATAGCCAAATGGAAGAGATGCATGGGGCAAGGTATGGGAAGAGGTCTCCAAGCTTCCATGCCATCTCAAAGGGGACCATTTTCCACAAATATTTTTTGCTAAAGCTAAAGCTCAAAATTTTTACTCTATCTCTCCCCATGTTTTGTGTTTTTAATGTCAGATTTTACCTCTTTTTATCTTGTATCTCGTAACTAGTTATTATAATCATACTTATTTTTACTACTTCATTTTTTGACCTTTATCCTCACTTTATATGTGATTAGTACACTACTTTACATATATTTACCTGTTCAGTGAGACTTATTCTCTCCTATGCTCTTGTTACTAACTATCATGTTTTCTTTTCAGCTTAAAGAATTCTCTTTAACATTTCTTGTAAGGCTGATTTAGCCCTTTACCTTTGGCTTGTCTGTAAAATTATTTATCTCTCCTTCAATTCTAAATGATAAGTTTGCCAGGTAGGCTAGGTTGGAAGTTTTTTTGGTTGGAAGTGTTTTCTTTCAGCACTTTGACTATATCATGCCAATCCTCTCTGCCTTCATGGTTTCTGCTAGAAAATCTGCTGATAGTCTTATCGGAGTTCCTTTGTATGTTAACAATTTGTTTTTTTCTTTTGCTGCTTTTTAGGATTCTTTTTCTTTAATTTTTGACATTTTGACATTTTAATTATAATGTGTCTTGGTGTGGGTTTTCTTGTTGGAATTCTTTAGGCTTCCTCATTCTGGATGTCTTTTTCCTCCACCAGGTTAGGGAAGTTTTCAGCCACTATTTCTTCAGATAAAATTTCTTCCCACTTTTCTACTTCTCCTTCTGGGAGCACTATAATAGAAATTTAGTCTGTTTGATGTTGTCCTATAAGTTCCTTGGGCCATCTGCTTTTTTTTTTTTTTTTTTTTTTTTTCCATTCTTTTTTCTATTTGCTGCTCTGATCAGGTGAGTTCCACTGCCTTGTCTTTGCATTCACTGATCCTTTCTTCTGCCTCATCTTGTCTGCTGTTGAACCCCTCTAGTGTACTTTTCATTTCAGTTATTGTGTTCTTCAGTTCTGTGACCTCTCTTTGGCACTTTCTTATATTTTGTCTCTTTGTTGAACTCCTCACTCTGTTCATCTATTCTTCTCCCCATTTTGGTGAGCATCTTTATGACCATGACTCTGAAGTCTTTATCAGATAAATTATCTCTGTTTCATTAAGGTTTTTTTTTTTTCCTTAAGTTTTCTCTGTTTTTTTTTTTTTTTAACTTGGCACATATTCCTCTATTTTTTTCATTTTGCTTGACTCTCTGTATTGATTTCTATGGTATTGAGATTTCTGTCCCAGTCGTGAAGGAGTGCCCTGTGCAGGAGATATACCTTGTGTTCAACCCTCCCCCAGGTCTTTGTTGTCTCTCAAACCTTTGTTTTTGTCCAAGTGGCCTATTATATTTTTAGTAGTTCCATGTAGTTACATATGTGCACAGACTTGTCAGTATCCCAAAGGGGAAGATCTTAGCACCTAGACTCAGGCTGATTGGAAGCAAGACCCTCAGTCATCAGCTTTTAAATGTGTACAAATATATACAGTCTTGAAGTTATAACAATCATAAGCCCCACTGGCCACCAGAGCCAGGAGATATAGAGGTGTCCTCTGGGTTGCAATTACAAAATTGGGGCTCTGGGTGAGTGTATAACCTCTTTTTTGGGAGATACCAGAAGAGAAAGGCAGAAGAAAAGTGCCAAGATGGTGTCTACAGCCTATATTCCTTGAGAGCAGCTCTGTAGGCCATTAGACACCTGCTAAGCCTGAAGCCTGCTCCTCAGGCTTTTCTGTTTTTGTTTTTATTTATTTACTTATTTTGTTAATAGTGACCATCTGAATAGATGTGAAGTGATAGCTTATTGTGGTTTTGGTTTGCATTTCCCTAATGATTAGCTATGTTGAGCATCTTTTTTTTTTTTTTTTAAAGATTTTATTTATTTATTTGACAGAGAGAGAGAGATATCACAAGTAGGCAGAGAGGCAGGCAGAGAGAGGGGGAAGCAGGCTCACTGCCGAGCAGAGAGCCCGATGCGGGGCTCGATCCCAGGACCCTGAGATCATGACCTGAGCTGAAGGCAGAGGCTTAACCCACTGAGCCACCCAGGCACCCCTGTTGAGCATCTTTTAATGTGCTTTTTGTCCAGGCATCTTGTTTTAAACTATCATAGAGTGTCAAATTGTAGCTGTTTTCAGCCAATCTGCATGTCATTTATAAAACCTCATAACAAAGACATCCCCAAAACAAACAATCTGAAGACCAAAGAGCTTTTTAAGGTGACTCAGAAGTTAAGCACCTGTCACTTTAGTTGGGTTCTGTTAGGTTGGAGATCTTCATTGTGTGCCCAAAGCACACAGCACTTCTAGCTCAATCAATGTTTAAGTAAGCAGATGAATACTCACTTGGGAGGTTATAAAGACCTCTTAAAAGAGAAGGGATGTTTTTATTACATACAGTAAACTGTAGGTCTACTTGGCCTATATGGTTTCACCTGTGCATTCTTTCATCCATTTAAGGAAGAAGTAAGATCAACTCTAGATGAATTTTCCAGCAAATGGAACACTTCCCAACTCATATTATGAAGCTGGCATTATTTTGAAACCAAAGCCAGACTATATATATATATATATATACACATTTTTTGTATATGTATTTATTTCTATGTATACATTTTATACACATATATCCATAAAATTCTATAAGCATCCTCCTTCTTCTTTTTACACTTCTTAGTTATCCATTACAAGTCAAGGGGAAAAAATGGTCTTTTAATGCATTTCACATCTTTTACCTTGATGGTTGGAGGTGCCAAGGATGGAAGCATAGCATTATTAATGTAGGCTGATCCTGGGTGTGACCCATACAAATTGCACCCCATGCTCAGAATCTTGGCCTTTTGAACTGGCTGGCTACCTTCTGAAAAAAGAAAAAATTCTGTAAGCCAAAATGAATTGAAAGATTGACATGCCTTAAAGGAGACCTATTAAGGATAAAAATATGCCTTTGGAGGTTCTTCTGATAAACAAAGTAAACAAAACCATGGGATAGATCCATTAGAAGATATTTGTGAGACACTCGGACTCTGAGAATTGATACTTTAATGAATTAGAAGGGCAGGGAAGGATTAGAGGGTTAGTTTCCAATTGAGCAGGGGTTTGTTTATACAACTCTCTGAAGTCAGAGCCAACATATCTACCAGTATTGACGGTGGGCAATGTTCCTTTGGATTTGAGGGATGGGCTGCACTGTCACTAAAAGTGGGTTTTTCTGTACAGAGTGGAGTAGTGATCTCATCCTTGAGTCCCACACAAGCCCAGTAGGTAGCCCTCCAGGCAAGAGTGGGATTCCATCAATGGATGCTTTCCATCAGTGCATCAGGAGGAATGAAAGGGCTGTCCCTAGATGTGGAGTTTCCTAGGGATCACATTATAGTTCTTCATCTGTTTTCCTACTGTGATGTTAGCTATTCGATGGTTTTATTCAACTTTGTACTTCTTCATACCTGATCCATTGCCAGGCATCCAGTTTGTGCCCAGTAAATAGAGTATACCTAGTTGGGGCCCTTAAGAAAACTCTTAGTCCCCTGAGGCTTTCATCGCAGGAGGGACATACCTTGAGTGGGCATCTGTGAGCATCTGTGCTTTTCTCCTGAGCTCCCTGAGGCCCATTCACCATTCATTACTTAATAATTATTTATCTTTTGAATTTAACAGGGAGGCCCAAACTTGAGCAGTTTTCCACAGTGGCTCCCCCAATGTGGCTCAGCAAACCCATAGACACTTAGAAGTGTGGTCCCCATTTGATTGATTCTGGCCTCCAAGCCAGTTCTCAACATTAGATTCTTCCTTCTGTTTCCTGGTTTCCCTGAGTTCTCAATGGGGAACTCACTCCCTAGACTGTTTAGCAAAAGTCCAGGCTTTCGGCTGAGGGTCCAGGACTTTGGGAACTGAGAGATTAAAATTATTCAAGGGTACCATATCAGCAGAGAGCAGGGACTTCTATTCAACATGTCTAAATGGGTTTATTAATACCTATTGCTTTTTAATACAATAGGTATTATTGTACTATAATAGGTATATTATATATACGTATAGGTATAATAGGTACAGGTTAGATTGCTCTAATGAAAATATTTGGAAAAACAAAGCCCTAAATAATATAGAAGTTCCTTTCTTTTTCATATAATAATCCAGGTGTAGTGCTCCAGGCTTATGGGACAGCTCTGCCATCCTATCTTTGGTGAAGGTTCTGGTTGTTGATGTTTTCCTACTAAAGAAAAGGAGAAAAGAGATAGGGGAAGTCCTCCTCTGATGTTTTTTTTAAAGATATTGTACATGACCCTCCCAATTATAGTCCAGCATGAGAATCTAACACAGAGTCACAATGAGCCATGGGCAAGTCTCAAGCTGCACATCCAGACCCTTGCTAAAATCCATCTTCCAGAGCCTGACCAACCCATCCTCTTCCCTTCACACCAAGACACCTCCTACCACTGTAAAACAAAATATTTGCACTTGCCCCTAAAGGTGACATTTTGCCTTTTGTCTCTGTATTGTTGTACTTGTTCTCTCTGCTGGAAAACTCTCCCTTTCCCTCCAAAGACAACCCTTACTCATCCCTTCAGGTGGGAAGCTGCTGAAGTACCAAATCCAAGACATTCGGAGCCAGCACTGTACAAGGTGCTCCTTATATTCTGAAAAGCACTGTGTCTCTCCACCCACTGTTCATGCCACAGCCCTGGGAGACAACATGCCTCACCCCTACATCTGACCCATCACCAAGCTTAATCAGTTCTATGTCCCAAAGAGCTCTCAAATCCCAGCTGGTTTCTCTCCAACTCCACTGCCACTGTTGGAGCCTCCAAACCAGGTTGTGTTTGAGAGTGAAAGGCACCCCAACAGATGGCAAGAGATGACAATAGTCACAAACTTGGGTAGGTTTTAGGCAAACCAGGGCCTGGGTAACAAGGCTCTAGGGTTACTCTAGTTTCTAGCCTGGTTTGGGTCTCTGGCCCTCCTGCCTGTTCTGCCTGTTTCCAGGTTGGACCCCTATATTCCATTCTCCACACAACAGCCCAAGTATGCTGTTTATTTTTTTTATAAACATTTTATTTATTTGAGAGAGAGAGAGAGAGAGTAAGAGAGAGAGAGATCACAAGCAGGGGGAGGGGTAGAGGGAAAAGCAGGGAGCTTGATGGGAAACCCGATCCCAGGACCCCAGGGGTCATGACATGAGCTAGAGGCAGGTGCTTAACTGACTGAACTACCCAGGCACCCCCAAGTGCTCGTTTAATACACAGAACTAATGATAGCACTCCCTGCTACAAATCTTTTGGTGCCTCTTAGTCATCTTAAACTCTCAGTGACATTATTATTATCGTATCCTAAATAATTGATTGGTTTGGGGGGTTTAGTTTAAATGATGTGAGGTTCTTGCTTTAACAATAACTCATGGTGCTATCTGTTCCCCACATTTTTTTTAAAGATTTTATTTATTTATTTGACAGAGATCACAAGTAGGCAGAGAAGCAGGCAGAGAGAGAGAGAGGAGGAAGCAGGATCCCTGCTGAGCAGAGATCCCGATGTGGGGCTCGATCCCAGGACCCTGAGATCATGCCCTGAGCCGAAGGCAGAGGCTTTAACCCACTGAGCCACCCAGGCGCCCCTGTTCCCCACATTTTATAATTACTTTATATCTTACAGTTTTCATTAGCAAATTAGCTATAGATTTAGTTAATTAATAAAGCAGGGAACTTCAAAAAAATAGATGATAAAAATAGATAGGTTATCTCCCAATGGCTCCCCAGTGTTTCCAGGACAAAATACAAATTGATTAATGTGGTCTAGGTTCTTGGAAACTGGTTCCTTCTACCTACCAGTCGTAACTCGCCTCTCTAGCCAGGCTCCTAAATATTCTATCTCCTGTCTCTGAGCCTTTGCACTATGTTCACTCAGCTTGAAGACCATCCTACACACCTTGTACCCCCAGCAGAGTTCTATTCCCTTTTAAAGTCTCAGTGTAGAGGCACCTGGGTCGCTCAGTTGTTAGGCGGCTGCCTTCGGCTCAGGTCATGGTCCCGGGGTCCTGGAATCGAGCCCTGCATCGGACTTCTTGCTGGGTGGGGAGCCTGTTTCTCCCTCTGCCACTCCCCCTGCTGTGTTCCTCTCTCACTGTCTCTTTCTCTCTGTCAAATGGATAAATACAATCTTTGAAAAAAATAAAGTCTTCCATTTACTCTAGGAAACTGTACATTCCAGTATATTACGTTATATTCCCATGTAATAATTACCCAGCTATTTTGTGTCACCCACAGATGTCTGCAAGTTCTGTGAAGGGAAGGCCTGTGTAAGTCTTGTTCACCATTCTATTCCTAGCCCTTAGCACTGTTGGCCCTGGTCCCACGTGGTCTTTGGTCAAGTGTCCGTGTTTTTGGAGCCCTCCTTGTCGCTGTGTTAAGGCTCTTCTCTCAGCCACCTCCACATTCCTTTCATGTACTATGGTGTGCCAGACAACATGAGGCTATCCTCAGGCCATCTGCTCAGGAGCCTCACCCATCCAGGCCACTATACAACTCTCGTGACTCAAGAGGCCTGGGGCTTGGGGCTCTACAGAGAGCCTTATGGCTTCCCTGAGCTGTGGCATCCCCTCAGTGCTTCCCAGGGCTACTATTAGCTTTCATCCAGGCTGAGCGAGGCTGCTTTTCAGAGACAGCATCAAAGTGTGTCTCCATGGCTCTTATCTTCATCTCTCTGAAGTTCATCCTCACCCCAGTGACCTTTAATCTCCTCTTGGGTAGAACAACTTGCTTTTACATCATCACCAAATTTTCCTGAATCATTTGTTTATGGCATAAACTTTGAAAGTTTGGCGCTCATACTAGGTTTTGGTAACTCAGAAAGAATTTTCTTTCAAAGCTTCTGTCTCTGTCATGAGCATCAAAAATCCATTTTGGTGACTCATTTCTTTATGAAATTAATTGATGACTCAGTACGTTCAACTCTTTTGAGTTGCGGCCCTCTCAAAGGCAGTAAGCATATCTCATGGTCTGGATTTAACAATGGAAGGGAATGTGGTTAGATAAAAAGGAACTAATGAGAATGAGTTTATATGTCAAAATACTACCTCTATACAGACACAACAAATGCATAGACACTTTTTACAATGACATGAGGTCTCATGCACAGGAATCCCATTTCCAGGAATTTATCCTACAGAAATACTTACAATACAAAGTAAAAATGAATGCATAAAGATGTTTTACAGTGTTTTGTTGTTGTTGTTGTTGTTTTTAGAGACAGAGAGAATGGGGCCAGGTAGAGGGAGAGAGAGAGAATCTTAAGCAGTCCCCACGCTCAGTGCAGAGCCTGACATGGGGCTTGATCACATGACCCTGAGATCATGACGTGAACTGAAATCAAGAGTCAAATGCTTAACTGACTAAACCACCCAGGCTCCCCACAGCATTTTTTATAATACTGAAAAATCATAAAAACCTAAATGTCCATAAATAAGGACTGGTTAAAAGATTATGTATGAATGGGTAAAGAAGAGGTGGTACATATATAGATAAGTCTATCGATCTATCTATGAATATTACTCAGCCATATAAAAGAATGAAATATTGCCATTTACAATGACATGGATGGAGCTAGAGAGCATTATGCAAAGAGAAGTCAGTCAGGGAAAGACTGATCATACCCTATGATCACATTCATACATGAAATTTAAGAAACAAAAGAAATGAGAAAAGGGGCAAAAAGGAGAGACAGAGGCAAACTAAGACACAGACTCTTAACTATAGGGAAAAAACTGATGGTTACCAGAGGGGAT